TTGCTGGAATCATAAACAACCTGGGGTAATGACGCATCATAACGTCCCATCAGTAGAATGCTAGGTGTAATGGGATGTGGATCAGCTATGTCTGAAGAGACGTAGCCGAGAGGTTTTGCGTTCAGGATGCCTTCTACTTCTGTTAGGACAGTCTGTAACACAGTTTCAGGCACAATCTGTTCCTTGAGGATGACTCTGAGAGCAGTCTTCACGGACTTCACTTCTCTCTCCCACACTCCTCTAAAGTGAGGAGCACTAGGTGGATTGAAACAGAAAGCAGTCTGCTGTTCTGCTAACCGTTCTTTCAAGAGAGGAGCCATGGCTTCAAAAGCTTCACGTAGCTATCGAGCTCCACCGACAAAATTCATCCCATTGTCGGACAGTAACTCAGATGGTTTGCCTCTTCTGGCAATGAAACGCCGCAGAGACATCAGGAAGGCGTCAGCGTCAGGGGCTCTCAAGGAGTACACCTTGAGTGGTCATACATTTGAAGACTATGCCCCAACGCTTCTCTGTTCGACGTCCAATTTTCACCGTGAAGGGACCAAAACAATCGACACCTGTCGAATAAAATGATGGTTTATACAGGCGCAGGCGACATGGTGGCAAATCTGCCATCTTCGGGACTGAAGGATTGGCACGCCATGCTTGGCACTGCATACAGCTGCTCTGACACCTCTTGACTGCTTCTCTCCCTTGCAGGATCCAGAACCGGCAACGCAATTCAGCTAGCACTCTCTCTGCCCAGGATGGAGAAGGGTCTCATCGAAATCCTGGATGATGAGCTTTGTCAGAGAATGCTTTGGGTCTAATACGACTGGGTGGATGGTGTCCGATTTAAGCTGCTCAACTCTTCATAGTCTCCCTCCGACTCTGATGAGCCCTGTCTCCTTATCATACTCTGGAGATAAGGAGCCCAGACGACTGCTGGTGGGCAAGGATCGGTTAGACAGGAGCGCCTTAACTTCTTCCGGGAATGATTCAGATTGTGCCTGCCTCAGGAGATTCTCTGCTTTGATGTAATCAGCTGCTTCACTGGGTGACTCACTCAAATTGGCCACCCCATGAAGAGATCGGGTGGTAGGTTGCATGAGGTCCTTCCATGTGGTGAACATATTGATGTCAGGAAGTTGAGGACAGGAGCTGACAGTCACCTGCCCACAGAACGAGGATTTCTTCAATTCACTATCCTCTGATTCTGGATGAGCTATTGG